TCTTTCTAGTCTTCTCCAGGCCCCGTCCTGTCTCCTCCAATGGTCAAAAGGGCCAGACCCATCCGGTACTACCAGATGAGACTGCGGTTGGGCCATCGATCTCTGTGTGAAGATCAACGGGATCAATGGTTTACCTGCACTTCCGTAGCAGATACCAGCAGGAGAGCTCAACATGACACCAGCATATAGGCAACAGCTAGCTGGCCCTTGCCTGCCTACTGGAGGCACACATTGCTAAAGATGCGGGATTCGTACTGAGTACTGCATATGAACGATCTCCCTTGTCTCTCCCATCTTCATTTACTTTTAATTGTTTCTTGTTTTTGAATTCTCCCCTTAATTTTTCCTGCACCAAAGAAAAAGTTAGGATGGCACTGAAATAGAGAATAGACACATCTACATCGAGCAGGGATCAGCATCGGCCGAAGGTGGCCGTGGTTGCAGCATTCAAGCAAGGATGCTGCTTTGTCAGACGAGGGAGATACGTTAGGAGCTGCCCGGGATGGTGGCCACTCGCCCAAAGATCGCGGACGGGACAAGCCGAAGACAAACACCACTAGATCTCTTGGGACCGGGCCAACAGCTCAAGAACAACATTGCAAAATGCATTGACACAGGTTTGGGAGATGCTCACTACAAGTGAGCTTTTATTTGCCAAGGCTTCGCAGATCATTGTGACGAACATGGAAGTCGGCAATGCTGGCGGTTCGTCTTCCGCACACAGGTTTGGGAGACGCTCACAGCAGCACCTGTCTCTTATACACATCTAGATGTGTATAAGAGACAGGGTTTGGGAGATGCTCACTACAAGTGAGCTTTTATTTGCCAAGGCTTCGCAGATCATTGTGACGAACACGGAAGTCGGCAATGCTGGCGGTTCGTCTTCCGCAGGCCAAGGGCAGAGATCAGCATTGGTCAAAAGTGGTCGTGGTCGCATCAACAACGCCGACCAATTCCAACAAGGCCTGTCTCTTATACACATCTAGATGTGTATAAGAGACAGGTCCTGATAGCATTAGGCTGGCCTGATAGCCTTCAGGGAACCCCCAAGGCTCCACCGGCCAGGGGATAGCCAGTGGCAGAGGGACCGAGCATCATCTGAGTGGCCAGTCACTGTGCCTCCCCGATTACCCCTCCCCCTATGAACATCAGCAAAGACTGCTTTTTAACGCCAATTGGGGGGACCAATGGACTATCTCTAGGTGACAGGTGCCAAGCATGCCCAGGAAGGTACATGAGGCCAATGGGGATTGAACCCAAGACCTCCTGAATGCCACTTGCGTGCCTTACCAACTGAGCTAGGNGCTCACTACAAGTGAGCTTTTATTTGCCAAGGCTTCGCAGATCATTGTGACGAACACGGAAGTCGGCAATGCTGGCGGTTCGTCTTCCGCAGGCCTGAGCAGGGATCAGCATCGGCCGAAGGTGGCCGTGGTTGTAGCAACTACGCCGACCAATTCAAGCAACGAGGCTGCTTCGTTAGACGAGGGAGATACGTTAGCAGCTGCCCCGGATGGTGGCCGCCCATCCAAAGGTCACGGACATGGCAAGCCGAAGACAAACACAGCTACATCTTCTGGGACCGGGCCAGGAGCTCAAAAACCTTGGCTCCATTAGGGTATCTCAAAATGTGTTCACAAGATCTGCACCAAGTACCAGTTTTGCTTGTGGTGCAACAACGACGGGCACGAAACCACGAACTGTCCCAAGAAGGCCAAGGGGAAGTCCCATCCGGAAAAGTGATCAACACCGAGTGTGATGCGGCTGCATTCTCGACGCCTTGGGAACCGGTTGCTTTGCGAGCAACCTCCCTTCATTCCGAGGCACATGCGGAAGTCGTGAGTCCTCTTCTTCATTTTTTCGAGGACTTTGCTGCCCAGCTCATTCCATCGCTAGGTTATTTAGCTCAAGGACAAGGTGCGTGCGGGGTTTCCTCTCCGTCCGATAAGAGCTCCATTTCGTCACCTTCAAATTCTTCTTCAAGGGATTCAACACGTGAGTTCAACATGGAGGTCTTGGACCCGTTGTCACCCGAGGACTTTGCATGGCTTCCTCTCCCTTCCACGGGCTGCTTA